ATCGTGCTAATGACAGGAGCATATGGTTTACTTATAGGTCTCCATGTACCAGATAAAGTCACACTTGGTCAGGCAAAACTTTGTTATTTCTCTGTTAATGTGGTGTTTATTTTATAGTACACAAAGGCAGACATTAACTTCATTTTGGGCAGATGGTGATGCTAGAAGATTAATACCTAAGTTACTTTCCTATTTAACTAAAGGATAATGATCTCAGAGTTTATGGAAGTACTACACATTTTTTAGTCTACTTGAAATTAGAATGAGATATTTGTTATTTGAGTCCCACTCTATTCTCATTGAGTAAGGTCATTTTTGGAACAGTAGTTTATTAGACAAGATGATTCAAATGCTTCAAATAAAGGACTTGTTGCTGCATGCTCTGTTCCTGTTCATCTGATGAATGGGCTGGCTGTGTGCTTATGTACTGGGACAAATTTGCCAGGCTCCTAGAGTTGCCCTGAATGCCATGTGTCTCAATGAAAACAACGATTTTATCTTTATAACATCTCTTGGGGGAAGTCTGACTCAGACTTCCCTGCTTAAGATACCTGAATTTCTGAATTCTGAGCTGGGAAAAAAACTCTGAAGAGACTTGTAGGGACTGGAAACTCTGAAGAGACTATAGGAATTAGAACTGTCAGAAATTTTTTTTTTTTTTTGTGGTCTGTGGGCCAAACCCAGGGCCTCCTGCATGCCAGGCAGCTGCTCTACCACTGAGCACTACCCCTACTCTGTGACACTGGAATGACCAGAAACAGTAATAAAAATTGTGGGTTAGAAAAATCAGGACAGCAAATTTTCTCCTGCTTTTTGTATATTAACTTAAAACTGTTATCTGGACTAAAAATTGCTTGAGATTAGAGATGACATCTTTTAAACTTTTGTATCCCTAGTACCTAGTACAAAGTTTCCGTAAGTGTTGGATAAATGAATAAATGTATATATGCACAGAGTAATTAATTATGTATCTCCTCTGGTGCTCTAGTCCAGCCATATGAATGTTGGAAGAAGTGAATGCTGTAGAGCTCTTGTACAATTCGAATGGCTGGGAGAAAAACTGGGATTACACTTTGAGAGAATGAGGAAGCAGTTCCAAGGAAGATTAGTTTAGCAAAATAGTTTAAATATCCTAGCAGCAGGTTTTTATTTTTTTTTTTTGAAGTGTAACTTTATTATTATTTTTTTCCTTTTTCTTTTATTATTCATATGTGCATACAAGGCTTGGTTCATTTCTCCCCCCTGCCCCCACCCCCTCCCTTACCACCCACTCCGCTCCCTCCCTCTCCCCCCCCTCAATACCCAGCAGAAACTATTTTGCCCTTATTTCTAATTTTGTTGTAGAGAGAGTATAAGCAGTAATAGGAAGGAACAAGGGTTTTTGCTGGTTGAGATAAGGATAGCTATACAGGGCGTTGACTCACATTGATTTCCTGTGCATGGGTGTTACCTTCTAGGTTAATTCTTTTTGATCTAACCTTTTCTCTAGTTCCTGGTCCCCTTTTCCTATTGGCCTCAGTTGCTTTTAAGGTATCTGCTTTAGTTTCTCTGCGTTAAGGGCAACAAATGCTAGCTAATTTTTTAGGTGTCTTACCTATCCTCACCCCTCCCTTGTGTGCTCTTGCTTTTATCATGTGCTCATAGTCCAATCCCCTTGTTGTGTTTGCCCTTGATCTAATGTCCACATATGAGGGAGAACATACGATTTTTGGTCTTTTGGGCCAGGCTAACCTCACTCAGAATGATGTTCTCCAATTCCATCCATTTACCAGCGAATGATAACATTTCGTTCTTCTTCATGGCTGCATAAAATTCCATTGTGTATAGATACCACATTTTCTTAATCCATTCGTCAGTGGTGGGGCATCTTGGCTGTTTCCATAACTTGGCTATTGTGAATAGTGCCGCAATAAACATGGGTGTGCAGGTGCCTCTGGAGTAACAGTCTTTTGGGTATATCCCCAAGAGTGGTATTGCTGGATCAAATGGTAGATCGATGTAGCTTTTTAAGTAGCCTCCAAATTTTTTTCCAGAGTGGTTGTACTAGTCTACATTCCCACCAACAGTGTAAGAGGGTTCCTTTTTCCCCGCATCCTGCCAACACCTGTTGTTGGTGTTGCTGATGATGGCTATTCTAACAGGGGTGAGGTGGAATCTTAGCGTGGTTTTAATTTGCATTTCCTTTATTGCTAGAGATGGTGAGCATTTTTTCATGTGTTTTTGGCCATTTGAATTTCTTCTTTTGAGAAAGTTCTGTTTAGTTCACTTGCCCATTTCTTTATTGGTTCATTAGTTTTGGGAGAATTTAGTTTTTTAAGTTCCCTATATATTCTGGTTATCAGTCCTTTGTCTGATGTATAGTTGGCAAATATTTTCTCCCACTCTGTGGGTGTTCTCTTCAGTTTAGAGACCATTTCTTTTGATGAACAGAAGCTTTTTAGTTTTATGAGGTCCCATTTATCTATGCTATCTCTTAGTTGCTGTGCTGCTGGGGTTCATTGAGAAAGTTCTTACCTATACCTACTAACTCCAGAGTATTTCCTACTCTTTCCTGTATCAACTTAAGAGTTTGGGGTCTGATATTAAGATCCTTGATCCATTTTGAGTTAATCTTGGTATAGGGTGATATACATGGATCTAGTTTCAGTTTTTTGCAGACTGCTAACCAGTTTTCCCAGCAGTTTTTGTTGAAGAGGCTGCTTTCTCCATCGTATATTTTTAGCTCCTTTGTCAAAGACAAGTTGGTTATAGTTGTGTGGCTTCATATCTGGGTCCTCTATTCTGTTCCACTGGTCTTCATGTCTGTTTTTGTGCCAGTACCATGCTGTTTTTATTGTTATTGCTTTGTAATATAGTTTGAAGTCAGGTATTGTGATACCTCCTGCATTGTTCTTTTGACTGAGTATTGCCTTGGCTATTCGTGGCCTCTTGTGTTTCCATATAAATTTCACAGTAGATTTTTCAATCTCTTTAATGAATGTCATTGGAATTTTGATGGGAATTGCATTAAACATGTAGATTACTTTGGGAGTATCGACATTTTTACTATGTTGATTCTACCAATCCATGAGCATGGGAGATCTCTCCACTTTCTATAGTCTTCCTCAATCTCTTTCTTCAGAAGTGTATAGTTTTCCTTGTAGAGGTTTTCACATCTTTTGTTAGGTTTACACCTAGGTATTTGATTTTTTTTGAGGCTATTGTAAATGGAATTGTTTTCATACATTCTTTTTCGTTTGCTCATTGTTAGTGTATAGAAATGCTAATGATTTTTCTATGTTGATTTTATATCCTGCTACCTTGCTATAGCTATTGATGATGTCTAGAAGCTTCTGAGTAGAGTTTTTTGGGTCTTTAAGGTATAGGATCATGTCGTCTGCAAATAGGGATATTTTGACAGTTTCTTTACCTATTTGTATTCCTTTTATTCCTTCTTCTTGCCTAATTGCTCTGGCTAGGAATTCCAGTACTATGTTGAATAGGAGTGGAGATAGTGGGCATCCTTGTCTGGTTCCTGATTTTAGAGGGAATGGTTTCAGTTTTTCTCCATTAAGTATAATGCTGGCTGTAGGTTTGTCATATATAGCTTTTATAATGTTGAGGAACTTTCCTTCTATTCCTAGTTTTTTAGAGCTTTTATCATGAAATGATGTTGGATCTTATCAAAGGCTTTTTCTGCATCTATTGAGATGATCAAGTGGTTTTTGTCTTTGCTTCTGTTAATGTGGTTTATTACGTTTATTGATTTTCGTATGTTGAACCACCCCTGCATCCCTGGGATGAAGCCTACTTGGTCGTGGTGAATAATCTTTTTGATGTGTTGCTGAATTCAGTTTGCCATTATTTTGTTGAGGATTTTTGCATCAATGTTCATTAAGGAGATTGGCCTATAGTTCTCCTTTTTGGAGGTGTCTTTGCCTGGTTTTGGGATAAGTGTAATACTGGCTTCATAAAATGTGTTTGGCAGTTTTCCTTCCCTTTCTAATTCGTGGAACAGTTTAAGGAGGGTTGGTATCAGTTCTTCTTTAAAGGTCTGATAGAATTCAGCAGAGAATCCATCAGGTCCTGGACTTTTCTTTTTGGGGAGACTCTTGATTGCTGCTTCAATTTCATTTTGTGTTATAGGTCTATTCAGGTGATTAATTTCCTCTTGGTTCAGTTTTGGATGATCATATGTATCTAGAAATCTGTCCATTTCTTTTAGATTTTCAAATTTATTTGACTATAGATTCTCAAAGTAGTCTCTGATGATTTCCTGGACTTCCATGGTGTTTGTTGTTATCTCCCCTTTTGCATTCCTAATCCTACTAATTTGGGTTTTTTCTCTCCTCATTTTAGTCAGGTTTGCCAGGGGTCTATCGATCTTGTTTATTTTTTCAAAGAACCAACTTTTCTAACAGCAGGTTTTGTGGTACATGCCTGTAATCTAAGCACCCAGGAAGTTGAGGCATAGTATGGTTTGTTCAAGGTCAGTCTGGACAATTAGTAAGACTCTGTCTTAAAAAAAAATCATAGCACCAGGAATATCAAAATATTCACTAAGATAATTATAAAAAAATCAAAAGACAACTCTTATTGATTTTTATAGACTGTGTGAAAACCTGCAATTAATTGTTATACCATGACTGTTCTCAGATATTCCATATGTGATATCACATATGGAATAGATGTGTATGTGTATATGTTCTTTACATAAGTGGTAATGCATATACATTTAGTATAATGCATATACTAAATTCAGAGATGTAAATGTAAATGGCCTGTTAACCCACTTAACTTCTCTATAAGGCAGGTATTTAACCTCTTTGTAAGACAGGGATAGTTCTCTTTCTAAAGGATAAGGGACAAAGAATCTATATTCTTTAGGATATGGACCAACTTTGCATCAAAATAATTTTAGAAAGCAGGGACCACACTGAATAGGAGCTTCATTTCATACACAGTGTTAAGGAAATTCAGCTAGAGATACAAAGAAAAAAGGCTCCCACTTGTCTAATTACCTTAAAGATGTGTGCTTTGAGGATGTGATGTCCCAGTTCAATAGTCTGCTGTCGGTTTAGTTTTCCCTCTTGGCGGGAAAACCAGAAGGCAAGTAATGTGTGACCACTCCTGAAAAGAAAGAGACTCATGTTAGAAATTTTAATGCCTCAGTTCTGCTTTGGATGAGATACTATTCAGGTCTAGTCAGACCTCCAACAAGTCTATGTGTCATTCAACCAGTGTCTTGGGGAAGGATGTTTGCTACTGAACAAATTAATGGATACCTTTTATCAGTTCTTTAGCAAAAAAAATTTATGAATACCACAAAGTGTCATTTCTAGTTGGCTTAAGCCCCACCCCACAGATGGTATTAGAAGATTTTCATTTTATTTCCTGTCTCTGTCAACAATGCTTATTTTGCAATGCTTAAATGTCAGTGTTCCTCAGGATCTCTGCATTGGTCTCTCCTATTCAGTCCTCTTACTGGATTAGCTCATCCATCCTCAGAAGTCCATGTATTTTTCTCTATCTGGACTTTTCTTCCCAGTCTTAGACCAGTATCTATCCAACTGTCTACTGGCTTTCTCCATTTGGAGGTTCCATAGTACCTAAACTCAACATGTCCCAAACTGTATTGACGACTTCTTCCCCAAATGACGTCTTCTCTGATTAGCCTCTACTAAACCCCTCTACATCTTCCCACCAGCTGAGTACACTAGAGTACTTTCTTTCTTTGGGACTGGGGTTTGATTTTTCCTTTTTGTTTTTGGTGGGCCTTGGGTTTGAACTCAAGGCTTCACGCTTGCAAAGCAGTTGATTACAAAGAAAGCACTCAAAGCCGATGTTCTACTGTTTGAGCCACACCTCCAGTTCTGGGACTGGGGTTTGAACTCAGGGCTTTGCTCTTACAAAGTAGGCACTCTTCCACTTGAGCCACTCCTATAGTCCATTTTTGCTCTGGAGATGGGGGTATCTCATGAACTATTTGCTGCTACAGGTCTTGAACTGTGATCCTCCCAATTTCAGCCTCACAGGAGTGAGCCACCAGTGCCTGGCTGAGTACTTTTTGTTGCCAACTGTATAGACTGTACATACCTGTAGTATAGCATTTACCACACTGTCACATAGTTTCTCCTCTACTAGACTGAGTTTCCTGATGGCATCCATTCCCCCGTATCTCTTAACTAATAGATCCCCAACTTTTATGAAAGAGAAAGCTCTTAATATCTGCCTCTGGATTTTATCCTATCTGTGTCCATGATGCCAGAACTGCTTCCTATCTCTTTGAAATCATGTGGTGAGCTGGCATGAGCAAAAAGCCAGAAGGAGAGCTAGACTGAAAGAACTGCAGAAAGACAGAATTTGAACACTGACTGCGTAGCATCGAAACTGTCTGACTTATTATATGAAATTAAAAAAATTTTAATATATTGAATCAGAATTTTGTTTTTTTTCCAGCTCAAACTATCCTAATGATATACTTTTTAAGTGTTATGTACTCTTTTAAGTGTTAATGTGTGATCGATTATGTGGCTATATGTGTGATGTGTGTGTATACATTGAGTATGTATTTCTATTTACATTTATGAAACAAATCTGGATTACTTACATTTCCCATAGTGCCTACCAAAGCTTACTGCATATAAAATGTTCAATAAAATATTTTTAGAAGAAAAAATTGGTCATTAAAGAAAGGACACTAGGTCACCTTTGTGATATATCTTCTTACCACATATTCTCTAGCCTTGGGGAACCGTGGATACTTAGAACTGTCTCTCTAGCTAGGTGTGGTGTCTCATGCCTTTAATCCTAGCAACTCAGAGGCAGAGAATGGGAGGATCATGGTTTGAGGCCAGTGAGACACAATCTCAAACAATAGCTAGGCATGGTGGTATGTGTCTGTCATCCCAGCTATGTGGGAATATTAAATAGGAGGATCACAGTCCAGGCTGGCTGGGACAAATATTTGAGGCTCTATTTCAAAAACAGCTAAAAGCAAAAAGGGCTGGGGGATGGCTCAAGTGGTAGAGCATCTGCCTAGTAAGCATGAGGCCATGAGTTCAACCCCCAGTACCACAACCAGAAAGTAAAAAACCTCTCAAAACAAAAAATAAAAAACAATCCGAAACAGAAAGTCTCTCTATTGCCTATCAGGTTAGTGGTCAGCAGACTTCTTTATGCCAGTAGTAACTCAACTCTTGTACTCCTCTCACTTAAGAGTGCCAAAGAAGAGGCAAATGAAACTGTTATTTCAATTTCCAAGCAAATGAGCCAATCAAACAGAAGGAAAAGTAGCAAGTGAATTTTTGCTGGTTACATTTGTGTGAAAGGAGGCTCAAACGTCATATGGACAACTTTCTCTCATATTTAACACTGGGATTGATAATTATGCACTGAGGAGAAACAACAAGCAACACAGGTCAAGGATTTTAAATACATTTTACATTATTCATAAAACAATGGCTCTTCTGGCACTGGTGGTGTAATTCCAACACTTAGAAAGTTGAGGCAGGAGGATCCTGAGTTTGAGGCCAGCCTGGGCTACACAGTGAGTCCCTGTCTTGAAAAAAAAAAAAAAAAAAAAAAAAAAGGCTCAGTGAGACCGTCTTAAAAAAAAAAAACAGAAAAACAAAGGCTCTGATCAGTTCATTGTACTCATAGTTTGTGTTGTTTAGGACACAAAGGGTAACAACAGTTTATATTATTTCCATTTGTAGCCTCCTCTTCTAACAGAATGTGGAACTAGTTAACCTATAGTCTAAATGTATTATACTTCACTTGCTTATATTTGTTTCAATTTCTGTTATTTGCTTACTCCTGAACATTATTCTCTCTGACTCTAGCCTCACCATTCTCAGTCTTAATTGTCAAATGTGGTTTTCTCTTAGCCTTTGCTATTTTTCTTTCTCTTATTTTCTCCTTCCAGCATTAGGCCCTATTTACTGCCTCCCATCTTGAAACTATCTCTTGACATTTATCACACTATCCTGGTACTTTTCTCCTATTAGGTTCAGAGATATAATTTCTTTGCCTTATTTTCCACTTACTCTTCTTCCTTAGGTAGCTCTTCTCTTCTAGCATCAACTTTCACTTAAATGTGAATGACTCCCACAGTGACATCTCACTTTGAGATTTAATTTTGCTTTTTGACTGGATCTCTCTCTACCTGCATCATTGTCAAATGAAACTGACTTTTGAAGTTGAAGTTTTCCCTCAAAACTAGATATCCTTAGGACTTCTTTATTTTTCAAATATTGCCAGTTAGGTGTAAAACCTAGTAGTTGTTTTTATCCTCTCTTTATACCTTCTCATCCAGATAACTGCAAGTGTTTTAGTCTCTCCATTCTATTCTCCACTTCCACTTCCCAGGGCATCCCAACAATATACACTGCAAAAATCTCATAAAAATTCTGCTAAAATATTTAATGGCTTTATATTTCCTCTCATTTAACACTTAAATCTTTAGCATGGTATTCGAATGATCTCCATAATTTGTCCCTTGTCTGTCTGCCTTTACCACCTTACCTGTGCTTTTGATACAAAACACAATAAATTATTTGTAGGGCTAACATGTGTTTTCCCTCTGCCTGCAATTCTCTTCCTTATCCTTCAGTCTCAGTTCATACCGCCTTCTCTGATTCTTGCAACAGGCTCAGGGGTTGTTTCTTTATATTTCTGTTGTACCTGGACATATATCCATGACAGCACCTATGTAGGACATATGGTTCTTACGTCAGCCTTCCCATTAGATTCTATTAAGGATAGAAATCATGTTTTTCACATATTTACTCTTAGGTAATAGGAGTAAATAATTTTCAGAGTGAGTTAGCAATAATACCTCATGCTTATATACTAGCTCATGTTTCTTAAAATAATTTAGTTATTTTTAGATGCTTAAAAACACTTACGTTGAGCTGAATGTGAGAAAGAACTCACTAATGTAAAGAACAATATATTCATTTATATAATATATGCCCTGAATTATTTGTTCTTCTTTTTTGCAGTACTGAGTTTTGAACTCAGGGTCTCATTCTTGCCAGGCAGGTGCTCTACCACTTGAGCTACTCTGCCAGCCCCTACACCCAGAATTCTTAATAAAGTCAGCAATCATTAATGCTGACATTTTTGATCAGCATTTTGTGAAAGAGTAGCTAAGAAATAAAACAGAGGGAGCACTAGTAAACCTGATGTGATTTTAGGCATGACCGAACACAACTATGATTTCCCTCTGTAATTAAGGATGATGGTAATCAAAATTGACTTTAATATGGGTTCAGATGTTCTCATGGGGTTATAAAAGCCATGGGCTGAGGGGAGTGGTGAGGACAGAATCACTTCCATATAGTTTATATAATGAGATCACCTTGTGATTCAAAGTCATCCTATGAATTTCCCTGACTGCATTCACAAAACTACATCTTTATAGCTTAAAGCCAAACAGGTCTATGTTCAAACTCTAGTTCTGCCACTTATAAATTTAATAACTGAAAACAAGCTATTTAACCTGTCTGTAAGACAGGATAGTAATACCTATCTCTCAGGACTGTGGTAAGAATTGAGTGAGATATATTAAGTGTAATATATTTTATATTTCTTTTTTTTATCTTCCATAGTAACTAATACAGTGCCACAACAAAGGAAGACCATTAACCATAAGTTACTTTAAACATATAGGAAGATGACTGTGTGTGAACAGAACTTGATCCTTACTCCTTCAGACCCTACCTACTACCTTTGCAGCTAAAAGAGAAACCCATAGATCAGGGATGTATTATTGGGGTATGGATACCATTTACTATTAGTCAATGCAGGAAAACTTCGTAATATAACTGCAGGCAGAAAGCGGGGCAGTGGTGGGGGGATAAGGACATAGCTAACTGGTCTCTAAATATAAAAGTTAATCTAACAGGAGGAATATAAATTTCTCATGTTTCAGAGGACCAGAGGGTTCTAGGAGGACAGTAAATCTTACATTAAAGTACTTATAACTGTCTACATATTTTTGTATTGTTTGGAGACAGGGTCTTGCTATGTAGCCCAGACTGGCCTGGAACTTAGTATGTAGTCCAAGCTGGCCTTTAACTTGTCATTCTTCTGTCTCAGCTTCTCAAATGCTGAGATTACAAGTG